ATATCCTACACACAAAAGCGTGAATAACCCTTGTGATAGAATACCCGCTTTCTTGTCAAATTTTCTACATATTTTCATTTTAAGTATCATTTCTCTTCATTTTGGAAACTCTTGTCATGCTTTGATAATTGTTAACAATTTGCTATAATAAATTTGATTGCTTTTACCTAACTAATGCCCGCTATTCAAAGTAACTAAACAGCTATAAGTTAGAAGCAATGGCTCTAAAAAGTTATTTGGCAGAAATACGGACAAGAAAGTTATATAGAGCACTACGTCTTTGTCTTAGGCATGCAAAAAAAAAATTGAACCGAAAATATAATACTCATAGAACAAAAGTTACAGAGCTTTTTTCGTCTCTGGAAATTTTTAGTTTTTGTTCTTGCAAGCATTTGCAGTGTATCTATCAATATATTCATTTACGTTTAGGCAAATTGGGAAAATTTCCACATAACGCCTTATATTTTTCGGATAGTCTTCCTATTAATAATCTATGTTTATTTTTTTATTTTTTTTTTTTTTAATGCTCGAATTAGTATCTGTGCCCATAACTGCCTAATTAAACGTTTTATATTCAAATTGATAATGGTTTGAGGCTCGATTTCTGCCACTGTCCCTAAAAAAATCTAGTGCACTCATCACACATCTTTCACTTACCACACCACTTTGAGTAAATATTATTTTTTGGCAAAATTTTATTATTACGAAAAGTGTTTGAAGTGCATTCTTAATGGAGTTTAATCAAAAACTCATTAGTGAATTTCGGTCATATTTATCGATCGAAAAATATGTTAAGACCATCAAGAAAACACAAACCGTATTCATAATGTAGACGGGTGGCAATGAAAATCTCGTAACACCATCAGTCTATTTTAAACACATTACTTCAATCTTTCAGTTCTATATACAAAGAAAGATTTGAAGGTATGTGTTATTTAACTATTTACATTTGCATATATTTAATCTGTAAGTAAATAAGGATTGTCTTCTAATGCAAAGATTATAGGAACTAAATTTGTATGACTTTGTATGTGTTTCTAAATTCTTATTTTTTGCAAAATGCACTTGCAAAATTTACCAAAATGGAGTCAGGAATTTTTTATTGCCTATCTACAATAAGTCAAAAGTAGTCGCTCTAATTGCCCACATAATGTTATGAATGTACAGGAATTTTTAATTTTTAATTTGCGATTATTAATCGGATCATTTATACATTTTACGTAAAGCTTCAAATGAATTTTAAAAGTGTCTATTGAGTTTCTCTGGAAATTCCATTTACTTTCCATGGATACACTTATTTTTCGATGAATCATATAAAATTAGACATTATTAACTAAAACAATTGGTAATTAATTTTTGACCCGTTTCAATAACTTATATGACTTTCAATATTAGATATTATTTTCTCTAAAATCCACAGCTTTACAATAATAAAATTTGACTTATATATTCTGACTATTATTTCTGGATCTTAATTTCCCCCCAAAAAATTTCCTTTTTACCACTTCAAGTCAACATTCAAATTCTTTCATATTGAGTCACTTTTATTGGTACTAACAAACCATTTTTTTCCATAATCCATTCTGACAATTTTCAACTAAAGAAGAAATTTAAAATGGCTTTGTCACTACATAGATGTAGATAATGAGTTGCCAAATGTCCAAAAAATAAAAATCTTATACACGCAATTTCAGTTTCGTACTTTTTTTTTTGTTTTTTTTTATCCAACTGTTCACACACACACATACATTTTACATGTTTGCGGAAATTCGAATGTGGAATAGGTGGTGGTGGAACAGGAGTCGTTTGAAGGAATTTGTGGACGAGGATTGACGTATGGATGTAGGAAGAGAGTACAAAAGAGGTAGCACGTATGACGAAAGATTCGCTGAAGGAATTACTTTTATGGGAGTGGATATATAAATCTATAGGTTGATACCTGGTATTAAGAGAGTGGATTGAGGAACGTAGAGTGAGAAGATCTAGGATATAGAGAGGGTTTTTGGTTCTGAGGACTTGGAATAGGAAAACACCAACGAGGAACTGTCGTCGAGAAGTAGGATAAAGCCACTTCAACTCGGTGTAGCAGAATGAAACATGTGAATGTCTGGGGATCCCGAAAATGTATCTTACAAATTGAGGAGAGTGAGGAACACCTCGTGTTAGTTGAAGGGGTAATGCTGGAGGTTTTTTTGGAATTGCAGCTGTCTGAGATCGATTGGATATGAAGAATTGAGAAGATGGTTTCGCTCGAGAAAGCTGTTCAATTGAGACTGAACTAATCTTTCTAGAGGCTTGGATAGATTGGATAAAATGGAGATGGATTTAAAGTCGGAAGGTGATGAACCATAATCGTTCGTTTTGGATTTAAGGGTGGCAGAGAGTAGGTCAGTAGGAGAGATGGCGATCAATTAAACTTATCAGGATCGAAGGGATTTCAGGGATGGAAAAAAGATGAGCGTTCAGATGGAAATGTTGATGGAAAATGGTTAGTGAAAAAGGAATATAGCTTGTTCGGATCGACTGGATACTGTGTGCAGCTTTTCGAGCTAACGGCAGAGAGGTTCCTAAGGATTTTCCATTTGAATTTAAGATTATGTTCTTGGGATGAAACGTTATTAAAAACGTGGCGTAGGAACATGCATGTGAGGTTTCGTAGGGATTTCAAATGTGGAATAATGCTGAGGTAATCGAATATGTCTGTAGCGTCTTCTAGCAGTATCTCTTCTCCTCGTTAGTTCTCTTATTTATTTATTGATCCAAGGAGCGGGAGGACGTCTATAGTTTTTAGAGGTGCGTGACGATTGAGGAAATCAAGGAGGATGGAGGAAAGGCATTCAACCATGTCATCGATGGTGGGGAGAGAATAAACGGGTTCTAAGGGAGCGGAAAGGTAATCGAGAAAAGGATTGATGTTTTCAGTGGTTAAAGAATCAAGATCTCTCCAAGAAATTTGTTTGGGATAAATGAGTATGAACTATTCAAACAAAAAAGAGTAATAACATGTTTAAAAAGAAAATGAAGATAAAAGGTATTCGTAATAAAGAGGTTAGAATGAACATTGAGACCTATTTCAATCCAGCAATTCAATGTCTTCCTTTTTGTTGACGATGATGATAGCAGATCCTCCCTGTCTTCTGTGTCGTATTTCAGCATACCTGAAGCCCTTTTCTGCCTTGCCAACCAGTATAAATGTTTATTACCTGGACTCATTTCTTAGCCCAGATAAATCCTCTCGTTGCTGTCTCGGCCGTACGGAAAGGTCTCTCTTGACCTCGCGTAAGCGGATGACTTCGTCCCATGCCGTCTGGGGGACGAACCGCACGACAATTGGCGGTGACCTAGGGTCCTCTCTTCTGGTCCCTTTCCTTTGTACAAAATCTAGATCTTCAACACTCAACTTTATGCCTAGAGCTGCTCTAAGAGAGCAGTACATGAAGTACAAAACCAATTTTTTTTCTTATTGCTGTGAGACGTCGGTTTCAGAGACGTTAGTACATTTTTTGTGACATATTAATTTACACGTAGCACCTTGTCTTACGTTCGGCTATCTCACAAAAAGTTTAAATTGTTTTCATACCTTGTGATGTTTATTAGGCATTAATAGTTTAATTCAACAGTTAATATTAATCTTTAAAGCAATTAATATTAAGAGCACTGTAAATATTTTAGTGACGGTGAACAAAACTATAATAGCACCACTTAAGATTTTACACAATTGAAAAGAACACCGATGCTATCTGTATAAGTCTGGGGCCAGAATGATAATAATCCTAAGAATGCATTTATCACCCTATGGTTATTTAATATCTTTTAGATAAAGGTCTGGCGTTGGTAGTATTTTTCGTGTTTCTGCTGAAATGTACAAATTTCGTTCTGTCGGTAGAATAGCAATCCTGATGATTTATACCAAATGTCAATTCGTCATAGTGCATCTTAGAGTTTCTTTGAAATAGAATATCTTTTGCACTGTATAGTATTGCAAAATCGTCAACAATGAGCATAACTTCAACTCCACGGGGTAAATTTATTCCAAGGCCGCTGCCGGCCAAGGCGAATAGAGTTGTACTTAGGAGACATCCTTGTGGAACCCCCTCATCTGTTCCCATTACATGGACAACGATGTTCTAATTCTCGCTTCCGAATTGGAACATCGTTGTTCATGCAATGGGAACAGATGAGGGGGATACCACAAGGATGGGTCCTTAGAACAACTCTATTCGCCTATGCCACCAGCGATGTTCCAATTCGGAAGCGGAAAGAGCGATGTGAAAGAAATTTTTAGATAAATTTGGGAAGACTATTTCTGAATCCTAGTGAATGGTGCTTTCTTAGAATTAAATATTTATTGGTTTTATCAAAGGTTCTGTGCATATCGAAGAAAACAGCAACCGCTTCCTTTTCTTAAACAATACATATTGTAATTCAGCCTCCATTAGAACTACATGATTTATTGTTGATCTCCCTTTTCAAAACCCTCATTGGAGGTTTTGAATGAGCTGGCATTTTTCTAGAATCCACATGAGCCTCTTTTTCACCATTCGTCCCATTACTTTACATAAGCAGCTGGTCAGAAAAATTGGTCGATAGCTGGATGGATGGAGCTTATCTTGATCTGACTTTAAAATCCGCACCAATATAGATTGATTCCAATTGGGAGGACAGTTACCGCTTTTTCAGATGTGGTTGTAAAATCCCAATAGCCAGGCTCAAAGTGGTTTCTGGAAAGTATTGTAACATGGAATAATGTATGTTGTCTGGCCCAGGTGAAGATCAGTTGAAGTCCTTCAGTATTGATTTTAGTTCCCAAAAAGTGAATGGAGTGTTGTGGTCTTGAAATGGCTCAGTGGTGGAGAAGTCGAATTGCTGAGCTGTGATAAGTGTAAACCCTTCATTATATAATTGAGAGTAATATTCGGCGAATGGTCTGATTATTATTTCTGAATTATCACACAATTTCCTGTGGACGGGTAGGTGCATGGTGTGGGTTCTGGCCCACCATGTATAAAGGTATGTGTTTACATTTGGATTCATTTGCTATAATGCACCATTTATTAGAAGTGTGTTCAATCAGAGAGAGGTGATGTTTATAACATAGGTGGGGAGGGGGAGTGATATTTATGAGGAGAGATTATATTTATTGCTATTTAATTCCGATCTTAGGGGCCGGTATAACAGAGTAGTTAGCGCGCTATAATAGTTAAGCAAAGATCATAGGATCGAATTCCGGCTCTTCTTCCCAATACGGCTGGTCTCCGCGGGTTAGACCACTACCCTCTTAATTGGGGAGGCCTACAGGTGTAATACTTGTAAGAACAGGCTATACAAAAAAAAAAAATGTATTCCGATTTTAGGATTTTAGAACAATGTAACAGAGATGGTAAATTTAGTAAATAAAAAGAGAGATGATAATAATAATAAAGACAGTCGGTAACACCAATCTCTGTCTGCGTACTCACATAGAGCGGAAGCCGTCCAAACCTAAACCCCCGCAAGATCCGCCTTAACGCAATTCTCCCACCTTTGTTTCAGTCTATCCTTCGGAAGTATGCCAGTAGACCCTTCACACATACCTTTTAGAGATAATTGGATTGGATAGCCCCAAATCTATTGTCTCATTTATATTCAGCGGGTATCAACCACGCACTTCGGCGTCTAAATTTTGCGGTTAACTCGTTCTTCTTCCATCCAAATATTTTTCCTTATACTTAATTTTCAAAAATGCTTAGGCGTTGTGCATCCATTAATGTAAATGGTCACGTTTCACTTTATAAATAACCGTAAAAAGTATAATAATTTTGTCAATTTTTAAATGTCGGTATTGAAGGTGCGAGTTAAGTAAAGTTTTCAACCGAAAAATAATTACTATTTCTAGCCTTTAGACTAGCCTCAATTTCCTCATTGGTATAGTTTTTCCTAGTTATCGTCGACCCTATACGTTAATTTCCTTAAATCTTCAACAGTATTCCCTTCATTGTCTATATCACCATACTCGTCCCCATTTCTGCAGCAGGCCATATATTTCGTTTTATCCGTATTTGTTTTCAGTTCCAATTCTTTACCGGTTTTCATCAACATTGTTCTATTTCATTTGTATATTTGCCGCTTCTTCACTTAACAGTACCAATTCATCGGCATACAGGAATACAGGTATTTTTTCTATTCATGTCCAAATCGTTTCCAGTGCTCGTATCATCTCTGTAATGAAATTTTCTAAAGTTATATTAAATCGGACAGTTGAAAGGAAATAACCTGCTTTTAAACAAAATGAAAAAAAAAATTGTGTATCCTTTTTCATGATAGGCAATTACATTTTCAAAACAATGTCCATACTAAAATTTTATATGTAACTAGTAGCGGGGCCAAAACTAGAGAGGGGCAAAGAAGGCAGTTTCTCCGGGCGGCAGAATTTAAGGGTCACCAAAGTTCGAGAAATTGTTTTTGCTTTTTCAGATTAAGTAAATATATGTTTTTCTAGTTTTTGGATGTTTTAACTTTAATTCAGTTAATAATACGATTCAATTACATCTTGTGATGTTTATTTCGGAATACATCAGCTAAAATACTGAAATAAAATCTTAGATTTTATTGGAGAGGGAATAACATGTCATAACATTTAGCTTACCGATCCTGATAAGAGCCAGGACGTAAATAACGCCAATATAACCGATGCGACGCTTGGGGAACAGAAACTGTAGCAGGAGGAAGGCAAAGGACAATTAAAATAATTGAAAACAAAAATTGCCTTTAAAGCATTAAATGCTCATTTATTGTGAGTGTAATTATGAGCAGTATGTTTGAGAGTGGGTTTGAAAAAATGTTTGTAGGTTAAGATTAATACACAACAATATTCTGTATCCATAAGTACTTGCATAAACAGAGTTAAAACACAAAAACTTCCTTAATTTCTGTGGCATTGAAACGAATGCCAGGTACTCTTAGTTAATATATATTTGCATTAAGATGAAGAAAAGGCGATTAAAGTCGCGAACAACAGCTAGTTATAAAATAATGCTGAGAGTCTGATGATCTATTGCTTATTAATTCATTACAATATAATCAGAGCACTAACATTAGAAATAGCAGAAAGAAATATACGATATAACAGCTGTCTGCTACATCAGACAGGGCGTTCACGACTTTCACGTCTGATCTTCGCGGAGCAAACGTGAATATATTTTTTTTCGCAGACATACACTCAGCAACTAACATTTTTATTCTTTTTAATCTATAAACAAAATAAATATATATGTTAGGCCAATGCCGGCCTTAGGGTCGGATAACCCGGCCAATTGTCCGGGGCGTAGATCTGGAGGAGGGCAGTGTCGACACTTATTTGAAACAAAATAATAATGACAAAGAGCATAAGAATAATAAATTTTAGCCGATTAACAAAGCAACTGAATTAGAGACATAATCATTGAAATAAATTTAAAATATTACTTAATACAAAACAGCTAACGAAATAATATTTTTTATTTGGAGAGAGGAGAGGAGAGGTAGAGGGGGGCGCCAAATATCTAAGACCGGCACTGTGTTAGGCTATAGTATTACGTATTGATAAAAGTTCCCGACATTATTTATCTATTATAGATTAAAAGGACTTTTTTATTTGCACATATTAGTATTAAAAACGTTCTGACTGCATATACTTTCTTAGTCTAATCTCATTATATCGTGTTGTTTGTTGATTAGCTATAATGTTTCGCCCCAATCCGTGGCGCCCCTCTGGCCCGGGTCCTGTCTGGCATTGACACATTGAATGCAAATTGATAAAAATACTTTTAAAATAATGTTAAATTTATTGTAAATATTTGCAAATATATCACTTATATTTTCAATCTATTAATAGTATTTTCTGATTAATTTCTTTCAGTAGAACATTTTTATAAAAATAAAAAATCCCTTGCTCTTATCACAGCCAGATCTACGGGGGGGAGTGGGAAGACTTTCGGGCTGAAGCACCTTTCCCGAAAAAATGCATAAATGTAACCATTTTTTGTGAAAAAAAAACTATCTCTTAAAGTACTATTGTTGATGTAATTGCATTTAATAAGACTTCAAGAATCAACTAAAAACCATTTTATATAGGTAGTTAGTATCTTTCTTTTTTTTCCTAAAGTAATTACCGTTATATATATGAAAAAAAAGCTTTCGGGCTGAAGCCCCCCCAAAAAATTAAATCCTGGATCCGCTAAGGCTACTTATGACGCCTTTTGAAAATTTTAAATTTGTCTAGTTTGATGGGCCTATCAAAATATTTTGTATTTCACAAGTTAGTCAATTATGAACAATTTATACCATTTTTTTTTAATGTAGAAAACCAAAAATATTTGTCTGGAAGTTAGTCTAGAAGTATCCCTATTAATACATTTTAGTGCAAAAATGGCTCACATTGCTTATAAAGTATTTGTTCAAATTTCTCGATTTTTTTAGTTTGGTTGATGAAATCACAACGACATTTCATCAGATTTCATACGAAGGTTCTTCTAAGAAGTCTAAGCTAAGATTGATATTAACTATTCCCAAGCGTGCTGATCATGCGTTAATTTCGACCAAAATTTTTGAAATTTGTTTTCCGGAAATGGCAAATTATCGAAAATTTTAGTCTGGCAAGATATTTACTTAATCTTTTCAATCAGTGCTTTATTTTCATGCAAATATGTTTCCTGCCCCAATGAGGTAATTTGTTTCAAAGTTTTAGAACTTTAAGTTTGTCAGGTTGGTAGAATGCACCCAGGTATTTTGTCAGATTTTATGCTAGATTTTTCTAGGAAGTCTAAAGATCAATATAAACTATTTCTCAACCGATAGTTTATAAGATAAATTATTTTAATATTTTGAATAATCATGCACTCCAAAATCATCCTGGTAATTTGCCAGAAAACATTTTTCTTCAAACTAAATGATGAGATCTTACATATCTCCTAATCAAACCTTGTGCTGCCTATGAGGTAAGAAAACATTTATTAGCTCCACAACTAATATATCACATAATTCACCACATCACTCAGTTATACCAAACTTATATAATCATCAAATTAAGTTGAATTGTTTTTATCTGAAGTAACTTTCATTGATTTTGACAGGACTGGGAGACAGAATAGTCACTGATGCACCTCCTCCAGCAGGATTTCAGCCAGTGCATCACCTGCCAATCAGGGAAATGTTTGGATCTGGAGCAGTGCATCACAACCATCAACCACAACAGATTCCTCTCCCTCAGCAACAGGCTCCACGAAATCCAGTTCATGGTTGGTCACAAAATTGGTTAAATACAATGCCGGTGGATTGTTATTTGTTCTAAATTACCTAGAAAGACAAATATTTAAGTATGAATTCAGTAGTAACATCTTTAGAAAATTAATACAATCATGATAGTTAGGTTTTGTTTAATTACAATTGTAGCCAAATATAAATCATACAATCGAGAAACTGACACCTTGTTGGGTAACTTTATTCCAAAATTAGGATAATTTCTATGATGTTTTCAACTTTTAGATAAACTTTCTGTTTTATTGAGAACTACTTCCAGTTTTATAGCAAAGCCATTCCTATGACAATCGTTCATTAGTTTTTACTCATTTCTTCAAAAAAATTATTCTAGTTATGGAGTAATGTTACTTTATATATATGAAATTTTTCTATTTTCCTGTAACCTTATTAATTTATTTGTGATAATAATTGCAAATTTATTACTATTAAATGATTTGTCATACAACATTATAAAAAATACTTAAAACATAAAGTATGGTAAACATCAGTAAAAACATTTTAGGACATCAGTAACTTTATTTTAGGCCATGGAAAGACTCAACTGGAAGGAAGGTCTAGAAGTGGTGGGGCATGGGTGGTTGATGACACCAACATAGATCTACAAGAAAAAACACCGAATTCCATAATGAAGTCTATTGAAACTGAAAGTGAGTTCAATATGATTAATTTTTTCTAATATTGCTTTGTTTTTTATATTCTCTAAATGTCACCTTATTAGTTTCTTAGCGCTGCTTTGAATCCGGGGTTAGTTCAGAAGTTGCCATCAGGGAGGCACAAATAAAAAATACAAATTCTCTCAATTAGGCTTTATTATATTATAGTTACTAAGGCCAAAAAAGATCTTGGATATAACAGTAGTACCCTTGGAGAAGTAAAACAATAGAATCCCCGGAAGGGATAAGATGGGATGGTTTTGTTTAGGATTAAAATCTGAAACATATAATATATAATCATTCAAAAAATTTAAATTTTCTTTCTCTTTAGGGAGGTGCGCAATCTTTTGAATCTGCCAATGAATTGAGTATTCATTATAAAAATAATGTCTGTTACCAAAGATGGACAAATATTTACATGTACTAAGTAGCACATTCTGGAGCCTTAAGTATGCGCCTCTCTTTTGTTTCAGAAACCTAAATCCCTCTCAAGTAATTAGTTTAAAAAAAAAGTTATGGTTAATCATATGGGTTAAGCACATTTTAAAAATGAATGTATTCAACCTATTGAGTATCAAGATCAGAATAATTATCCCTGTAAAGTAAAACTCTGTTATGCTCCTTCATACATACTTCTTTTGCTGGTGTTTTTGGTCTTGTCCCGTTTTAATATAATGCTCACTGTTGAATCTTTGATAATTATTTTGATTTTGACTTAAGATTAGGAATATCTTAAACACAAATATATGATAAATCCAAATAATTTCATTTGATCCATTTTTTATTTTGTAAACTGTGTGTAATTGTTAGCACTAAATATTGATCCCCAGAAATGATCTGTCATGTTATACAACTGCTAGATTTAAAAATAACCAAAAGCTTAATTCTTTACAAGCAGAGGATTTTATCTTTGGTATTCAAGCAAGTCCCTAAATTTGATATAGCAAATTTTGAATGATTTCTGTCCATGGAAAAAAACAACAAAAACAATATGCATAAATTAAAAAATCCATCACATTACAGCCAAATAAGGCATTGAATAAATTAGTTGAATTTTTCAGATGAATATACATGGTTTGCTACCTTAAGTACACTAATGAACTGTGAATGTGAAATCTAAAATTTTTACTGTTTTTGACTGAATATCTTATGCTTGAAAATCAACAATATGTTGGTTACAATCTAATGAGAAAAATCAGCTACATAATAATAAAATAATTACAGGATTCGAAGAAGGAGTTTTAGGATGTGGTGGTTGGTGTAGAAGTGGAGAATATCTCTGCCTAGGCACGTGTACTTGTGTTCCAGTAGCTTGGCGTTGTGATGGTGACGCAGATTGTGTCAAAGGTGAAGATGAGATGCTTTGTACAGAACCTACATTACAATCATGTCCACCTGCCACTCATATCAGGTAAGGATGAAGTAACTTTTGTTTCATTTCATTTATTTTTATACTAATTTCAAAATAAAATGAAATTGAAGTGTTCGAAATACATGAAAATTTTAAATTTACTATGTTTTGAACAAAAAATATTCTTTTTTTAGGTGTCCTCATACTGGAAAGTGTATTAGGAAAGATTTTCTTTGTGATGGAGCAGATGACTGTGGTGATTTTTCTGATGAAACACATTGTGGTAAAATATTTACTAGAATATTGAATTAATATTATGATTATCCCATGAGTTACAAATATTTGAACTTGTATTTTATCTAGAGAATATATAACTGAGCAAGAAGAAATCTTTTCCTCAAAAGAAGCTCTTTATGTTTTTATTACTAATTTAGTATTTCAAAGATTTTACTATTTTATTATTCTATTTTCCAAACTTTCGAACCTCATGACAGCACAGTTAAAACCTGGATTGTTTGGAGGATCTATAATGTACCTTGACAGAGTGGTGGAAAGGGGAGTTTCAGATAAGATATGTCTAATTTCCCTACAGAGTTATTAAGTTCTTTTCAATTCCACTGAGTAGAAAATCATAATCTTAAATAAATCCCTTTATTCCATTTCAAAATTTTAATTTTGTAATAACCGTTTTTCATGTAAATTTGTTTATGTTTAACATCTGAGGAAAAAACTACATATTATATTTTTAACAACTGCATTATAAATAATATTCATAAACTAAATGTTACTAATTAACTAAATTAATAATTAAAAATATTTATGAAAAGCTTGATAACAATTTAACAATCAAAAATTTGGATGATCAAAACCCTCTAAACATTAAATTGACATATCACTCCATTCGATTTTCTAGACAAAGTCGACACCTATTTCGCATCTTTCTGTTTGTCCTTTTCTGATATTATAAAGGTTTGTTTTGTGATTGTGTTTCTGAAAATAAATTAAATTTTACCACCAAGTTTCTGAAGTTAACTATTTATGGATAATGTTTGCTATAAAAAGTGAAGGCATTAGATTAGGTTGATGCAGACATGAAATGAATTGGATCTGTCAAACATGGTAGAGGTTTATAAGGAGATGTAGGATCTCCTCTCACTTTTTTATATTATTCCTTTTCTAGTGTATACCATGATGTCTAAAAATACAGAGTTTATTTAATACTTCAAGCATTGTTTTAAAACTATAAAACCAAATTAAATAAATTGCTTTATTATCATTCAAAAATTCTATACAAAATTGTGATTGTTGCTACAGATCGTCAACTCAACTACTATATTTTATTAATATGAAAACTAAACTATATTTCAATAAATAATGCGTATTAATTGATTGATATAAAGAAAAATGTGGTTGATCTACCTAAACTTTAAAAACTTGTAACTCTTCACTGGTGAAAGGTATTCTTTAACAATACTAGTTCCTGGTTCTCAAATCCTAAAAACTAGAATGGTGAGGAAGGTTCTTTTTCTAAATGACTGGAAAGGATGGAGAAATTGAAAAGTGAGATGTGCTCCTAGTTAGTTGTGAGTTATTGGGAGTAGGGTGAGCAAAGCACACCAGTTAAAATGCTTAATCACTGAGTTAGAGAGAGAACACCTGATGTACTTGTCATATTCAATGGGTTAAGATGATACAGTATTACTGAATTGATGATCTCTCAATATAAGAAGAAGAAAAAACTTGGCATTTATGCTTGAATCTCTTTTCAAAATTTGATTTCTGTTGTTTTTTTTATCAGGACCTTGAATAAGTTCTTGTTTTTTTGTGTGTGTAGAAATTAATGATTTATTTAAAGTGACAAATTAATGAACTATAACAAATATATTTATTGAAACATTTTACATATTCCTTTTGGGATTAAAGTTAATTATTGTCTGGAGCTCCTAGTGAATTTACTTATAGTGTGATGTTCTAATGAAGCCAACCCCTTCAGAGACGTTTAGGTCTCATTTTTTGATTCACTGCTCTGTACAAGTGGATTAGTTAGTCCAGAAAGTAAGTCATTAAAATTTCTGTGATGTGAACAGTCACATGTGGTATTTGTAGGTCTTCATGCCATGACTTAAAAGGGGCAGTGAGTGATAAACCAAAGAAATTTAAATTAGAAGATTTGAATAGCCTGTAGGTGTGATTTTTTGTATCTACTGTTACCGTAATGAATACTGTGGATGGGGGAGGACTTCTGCTTAAGTGTTTCCAGGTAGGTTTTTATTAGTTTTTCAAGATGAGGCTAAATGTTGTCATGTAATAAAATCACCTTGTAGTGTCTCTGCTTGAACAGTGGCCATTTTTTCTTCAGGGTTTGGTTCAAATGCAACAATTTTATATGATAGCAATCTCCCGTTATGGTTCCATTCGGTTTGAGCCGCATAATAAATTACACCATGCTCATTCCGTCAAACACAAAGGAAAAGCTTTGAACTGTGGATATTTAGCTTTGGGGATGATGTTGGAGCGAGGCTAAGTTTATTTCACAATTTTTTAAGCTTAGGGTTATGGTATTGTATCCATTTTTCATCGCAAGTCATAATATGATGCAAAAAGCTTTTCCTTTTCTGCTGGTGAAGCAGCTGCTCACTTGTGATAAAACATTGTTTGAAGTCTTTCGGCGTAACTCACATAGCACCCAATTTTCTTGCTCCTGGATCATTCATAATGCTCTCAAATATTTTGGAACCTTAGAGTCATCTACTAGTAATGATTTTTGAAGTTCAGCTAGCATCTAACATGGACCTTCATCAAGCAATTTCTGACAGATTAAAACCATTGTTTTTGAAGCACCGAAACCAGTCTTTACATTTTGTTTTACAGCATGTTACCATGAGTCTCAACAAAAATTCTGTGTGCTTCAGCTGGAGAATTTTTAGAAATAAAATTCCCCATAAATACTTTTTACTTGGCACAAAACTTGACATTTATAGAACTATAAAAAAAAGGTGTTGTTTACACTTTGGGGAACTAACATATATTAAACTCCAAATTTATCAGTAGTTCTTGGAAAATTACATTACCATTATAAATGAAACGCAAATACTATTGGTATGGACATATATTAGGAAACAACACGAACTTATTGAAGATCCTGGTATCATTAAATAATGATTAAAAAAAAATAATATATTTTTTTTTTTTTTTTTTTTTTTCTAGATACTTCAATGAATTGCACTGATTATGAATTTGAGTGTAACAATGGCCTATGCATTCCAGTTTCTTGGTTATGTGATGGTGATAATGATTGTCGAGACCTGTCTGATGAAGTGAACTGTTCAATGAAAGCGTAAATATGAAATTAAATTATAATTTTCTTATAATGTTTTACAGATTTTGTTCAAAAGTCTTAATTGGTACTTTCAATGAGTAATTATTTTAATTTAATTGAAACTTCTGAGCATCCCTGGTTATAGGTTATTCATATATTTTATAATATGACTATAAATTCAATGTCTAAAGAATAAATCAGGATACATAAGCACTGCATCCTTATTTTTGAACTCATAATAATATACTTTTAAGTTCTTAAAATAATAAATCATTATTTACTATAATTAAATATATTTAAATTTAAATATAATTAACACATTCCATTCTTAAATATGTTATCATTAATGTTGATGTATGTCCCATATATATATATTTTTTTTAATATAACATTAACATATATAAATATTTATATTAAAGTGAAGATATGTTTGCTATCTGCTTAGAGTAAGATTAAAAAGCAGTACAATGAAAAAAAAACTTCTACATTTTTGTTTATCAAATCTTAAACCTTATTAACTTTTAATATGTTGTTGGAAATTATTATTAGAGAAATTAAAGTGGAAGCTTAAGGATATATTTATAATTACAGAATGTCAGCTAACAATAAGTCCATTGGAAGGATGGAAAAATTTCTTTCAAAATCATTTTAGGTTTGTTAAGAAACAGTAAAAAAATAAGGGCTCACGTAATTGAAAAGAAGATTATGTATATGCTTTAGTCCAAGAAAATCAGAATGAATTGGTTTCAATTAGAAGTTTCATAGGTTTCATTTTCACTGAATATAGCAAAATGAAAGAAGATATTTAAGTGAAAATTCAGAAAACCAATCCATGCCACCAGTCTCTTAAGGAATAAAACAATTTAAATATGCCCAAAAACAAATAGATTCCGATTAAAGAAACATAAATGATTGGTACTGTTCTGTAAATTATTGACAATTTTAAATTTAATATTAATCTATATTTCATGGCATTAGTTCGAAAAGGTCCTAACTAACAAATTTGTGCAAATTGAGTTTTCACTCAGAAATCACTTACAACAAAGTTATCTATGTTCCAAATGAATTTTAGTACCATCAGTTAAAAAATAAAGGAACTAGCAGTATGACATGGTTTTAACTACAGACCACTTTTGAAAGTAATTGGTTTGAGAAGGTTTTAACTGCTATACTATGTAGCTGTTCTTGATTTATAGTTATTCTAATGAGAGTTAAACATGAAATTATATCATAGGTGATAAATATTCAGGACACAATCATTCTAAACTTTTTACTAGTCCCGACATTTAAACCCAAACATGTGGTTCATCATCAGATGATGATCCACATGTTTGGGTTGAAATGTCGGCACTAATATAAACTTTGTAAAGAGTGCGTCCTGAATATTTATCACCTATGATATGTAGAACCGTGAACTAACTTCCTTCAATGAAATTATATCATTTATATTAGATTTAACAGTAGAGTATTGATTCTGAATAAATAACCTTTATTCATTTTTACAAAAAGGATAAAATAATTTAATAAATCAATTTGTTAAAAAAAAAGTATAAAATATTTTTATTTAATTCTGCTTCTTGTTTCTTCATATCCCTCATGAAACGTAAAATCTCAAGTTTTAGGGAGCTTCTATCTGCATTTAGAACCTTGTCTGACCATGATAATGCATTCTGGAATGACAAAGTTCTAACTGCAAAGTTTTAATATTCAAAATCATATTAACAAGTGGTGCTAATTAAGTCATTGAGAAATGCTAATTCAAGTTCACAGATTCAAGGTATTGTACAAACAAAGTTGTTAGTCTAAGTAACAAAATATTCATATTACAGTAAACTATAACTTTGAAGTTGTGTTTCTCAAAATTATAGTAAATGCAGTTAGAACCTTTTAATGTGTTATTTAAAGCCAAGATTTTAAATAACACATTAAGGGTTATTTGTGAATAATCGAGTTTGGCAGTTATTATAAATATTCCTTCCATTTTGTCAGGGGACTAGGTTATTTATACTTGTGAATTTAATTTTCTTAAAACAAAACCCCCGCCCTGGATATAGACTTTTTGAGGATGTTTAACTGACATTCGGAATTTGGGAACCTAATGCTTTTTGGGAAACTCAATGACAAGAAATAATAAGAATATAAATATATATATATATATATATATATATATATATATATATATATATATATATATATATATATATATATATATATATATATGAAATTTGGGACTTGTAGTAGACATCCCCCAGTATTTAATCCTTTAGGTGACATTGTGTGAGGGAATGAGAAGGAATATATAGGAATGTGAGATTGCATGATGAATTGTACTCAATTTTTGTCAGGACAAATTATTCATTGAAAAGTCACATATCCATAAACAATCGATGAAGTAGGACGCTGGAAAAAAGACAGAGCTGGTAGCAAGAGCTGGAGAAGGGCGCTAGAGAAAAAAGAAGGCACTCTAGGCCGGGACAGGTAGAAAGGAGGTTGTCAGAAGAGAGGAGAACTCACTTGAGGCTGGGACACTGAGGTGGAACGAGGTTAGGTGAGATGAGAAGCCTACTACATTGAAGACCAACAATATCAAGCCTACAGTTATAAGACTTTAATAGATTCACTTATTACAGTTGTAAAATAAATTGTTTTATTATACAGGAGTGAAAAGTCATTTATTTATTTAGTTGTCCCATAGGTCTCACAATTGAAGAATAATAAACCAGGTGAGTCAATTCATTCAAAGTATATTTACTAAATCCCACATTTCATATATATATTCTTATTGTTTCTTCTCACTCAGTGTCACAAAAGTATTAAGTTCCCGAATTCCCAACACTCCCTCAAAAAGTCTATATCCAGTGTCGGGATTTTGTTTTAATATTCACGAGTGTAAATAATCTAATCTCCCGATAAAAACGGAAGGAATATTTACTATTCCTGCCAAAAAAAATTATTAACAATTATTCTTTAACAGGTTATTTACAGATTTAGTAAACACACTTTGAATGAATTGACTCCTAGTTTGTTATTCTTCAATTATGAGGCCTAAAGGACAACTAAATAAAAGGATTATTCACTCTTGTCTAACAAAACAATTTATTTTACAACTGTAATAAGTGAATCTATTAAAGTCTTAAAACTTTAGGCTTGATCTTCCTAATCTTCATTGCAGTGCCTCTCTCTTCTGGTAACTTCCTTTTTTTCCTGTCCTGGCCTAGAGTGCCTTCTTTTCTCTGTGGCCTCCTTCTCCAGCTGCTGCTACCTGCTCGATCCTTTTTCAAGCTTCTTCCTTCTTCGATTTTTTGTCCACATGAGACTTTTCAATGAACAATTTGTCCACTGCCCAATTGAGTAAAATTCAGTTGCAACATAATATTCCTTCTCGTTCCCTCACACAATGTCACATAAAGGAGTAAATACTGGGGGCTATCTACTACAATTTGTTAATGGGAAAGCAAGGCTATTAATTTATGTGCTATCTGTTTGATTAAACTCATCAATAAATCTCTTAAATCGCTACACTCTTGAGTTATTCAAGAACATTAATTTCAATTGAAATGAAAAATCTGTCTTCAAAATCCTCTACAAATTGACATGAAATTTTTAGAAAAACAAATCACTTGAGAATATTTTTCAACTTCAAAGTAAAATTTAAAATCTAGAAAAATTTTTAGATTTAACAAAACATTTTGGAAAATTTATCACAAGTTTGTGTTCCCTTTATGGTTGTTTAAAGAGGTGGAATGGCATTGGGTAGGGGAATGGAAATGAAGTAGAGCATCTTTTCGGTCTCTGAAGCTGGTTTTAAATCCTGAACTTGTCCTTAGACATTATGATTACAGCTTAACAGTGTTGTGATATCTCTGGATGGATTAGAAAAAAATTTATGTAGGAGTCAACCATTTGTATGTTTTAATAATTTTAAAATATATGTTAGAAGCCAAGAAACAAATATATATGTGAATATCAAGAAAGAAATGTTGGCTTGTTTGCTGTTTTTTTGGATGCAAGTGCTTTTAAAGCTATTCTCACGATCACCATTTCAATGTTGAATTAGAACATAACCTCTTAAGCTTGGTTCATAGAAAGCCTATTCACATAGGTGCAGATAAAAATAAATAAAAAATTACTATTTCTATCAAATTTTTCTTTTGCCAGGTTACATCAATCAATCTAAAGCTTAAAATCAGTAATATCAAAATTATTTACCAACTTAAAAAGTTTTAGGAACACAATTTCTTGTTTCATCTTTTATTCCACATTGTTATAGTTGAGAGGAGGATAATGTAAATATAATTTTTTCTGTTATTGCTGTCTTCATCTGTACAATTTGAATTTTTTTTTCAGAGAATGTAGTCCAGAGCATGATTTTCAATGTAGTGATGGCTCTTGTATATCTTTGACTTGGCGATGTGATTCAGAACCAGACTGTTCAGATCAATCAGATGAAACCGACTGTCGTAAGTATTATTACATTACCTTTAAAAATTATTGTTATTACTTCTTATATCTAGATCAAAAGAATGATAGCAACAAGGTTTTCACAAAAAAAAAAAACTTTAAAAAGCAAACAAACATATAAACCACTAATAATTAATTAATGGTGTATGTTGCATTAGTTGAAATATATAGTCTGACTGGCCTTGTTGTTTAATAGGTATAACGTTATATTTCCATTCTTTCGCTATTCTTTTCTCCTCCCAGGCTTTTTGAAAAAATGTTTGGAGAGACTTGACTAGTTTCATGCTTACATACTTGACAAACTTATATATATATATTCTACTTATATACAGCGTGTTTCATAATTGCGCAGTACTATTATAGGTATGTGTTCATTAACACAAAACAAACTAAAAAGTTCATATTAACATATATCTCAAACTCATTTATTAAACAGCTATCAAAGGTAAAATATTTATTATTTATTTACTACATTAAGACTGACTGTACAACGTTTAACGTGTTTATTACTAAATAATAGGTTTTAATCACCTGATAAACAAATGAACAATAAGCAATGACAGTAGTTGCTCATCTGTTTGTCTAGTTTTGTGTGTTTTAGTGTGAGTGAATACTGTGACACAGTTCAATTTATGATTATCATGGGAGACACCATAAATTTATTCACTTTTGCAGAACAAATGACATGCTTTTAACTTGTGGCAAGGTACATAGAAACCGTGCTGCTGTTTGAAAATGTCGTGAAAAATTTTCTAACTGAAGAAAACCAAATCGTAAAATGTTTGAGGTCACTGAAGGACGCCTTAGGGAAAATGGCACGCTAAAACCTATATGAGTAAACATCGGTCGACAAAGATTTCGATGAACTGCAAACGTTGAAGAAGAAATACTTGATGCTGTTCAGTTATCTCCTACTACTAGTACCAGAAGATTGTCACATCGTTTCGATGTTTCCTCTACCAGCGCATGGCGAACTTTATGCTGACAACAATTGTATCCATTTCACGTATCGAGTTTTCGAGGAAAGATTTGTTACCACATGATAACAAATTACATGCGTAGAAATTTCTCCCAGTGGTTAATTCTACAATGCACACGAGATCCTAACTTCCTGAACTGCATTTTGGTTACTGATGAATCTTGCTTCACAAGAAATGGGATTCTTAATTTTCAAAATACCCATACTTGGGCTGAAGAAAACCCTTGTACGACTGCTGTTGGACATTACCAACATACCTTTAAATGTTTGGTGTGGTCTTCTAAGCGACAACATCAATGGCCCCTTCTTTTTGCCACCTAGGCTGTAGGTATATGTTACTTGCATTTTTTGCTAAATAATCTTCATAAACTCCTCGAAGATATTCCTCTAGGCATTAGGCAAGGCTGTGGTTTATGCATGACTGTGCTCCAGTTCAATTTTCTAATAGTCTCACTGATTATTTAAATGCAACTTATGAAGAGCGATGGGTTGGTCGAAATGGACCTGTTAAATGGCCACCACGATCTCCGGATTTAAAGCCATTAGATTATTTTTTGTGGGGCTGGATGAAGTCTATGGTTTATTCTGCAGCAGTTGGCACGCAAGAAGAGCTAAGAGATTGGATCATTCTGATTCTATACGAAGATCCAGAAAAGCATGGATTCGTCGTGCTGAATGTTGCATTCAATAATGACAGCGTCTTTGAACAGTTACTCTAAATGTTGTAATCATAATAAATAAATGGTAATAATAAATCTTTAACGTTTGATATCTGTTTAATAAATTAGTTTGAGATATATGTTAATATGAACTTTTTTGTTTATTTTGTGTTAGTGAATACATACCTAAAATTGTGCCATGGAATTACAAAATACCCTGTATACAAATTTTAAAGTACAGGGTGTTGATAAGTAAAAATGGAAATTCCTTTTGTAGGATATTTGTAACTTTCTTACTATGAAAGAAAAATATATTTTTTTTAAATATACTTAATCAATTAACGTATAATTTCTGATTTTACACATGTTATTTTTTAGCTGAAGTTGAAATACCTCAGTGTGGGCCTGATGAGGTACAGTGTGATTACCCAAAATGTGTGAGAGAAGAATTTCGCTGTGATGGAGATGATGATTGTGGTGATTGGAGTGATGAAAATGGTTGTCCCAATGTATCAGGAGGGATATGCTCTGATACAGAATTCAGGTAAGAAGGACATATACTAAGCACTTGTAATTATAGTAATTGCTGCACTAGAAAAAGCAAAACAATTAAATTAAATTATTTTATTATTCTACTACATATTCCCGTCAATTCCCTGCACAACCGTTGGCCTTGTAACAGTACTTCCTCACATTGTACTGAACCCAAGACCCTTCATGGGTTGTTAGTAGTACTGATTTTTTACTACATATTTAAGAACCATATCTTAATTAATATTATTATTAAATGAAGTTACGACTCATTTATTGAGTCAAAGCCTGCCCTATTATACACCGTCATTCCTCTCTGTTTCCTGCCACTACATTCTAGTTCCAGACACTAAATAGGAACCTTGAGTCACTGTTACTCCATCCTCCCAGCGAATCTTAGGACCTCCAACTTTTCTTGTTCCATATACAATCTCTGAAAAGACTTTGTGTGGAATCTCATTTGGTTCCATCCTAGCAACATGGCTCACCCAAATAAACCTTCTTAACTTTATACATCAACAAAGGTGCATACATCAACATCTCCATATACGGTTCTTAATTTGGCAATATTTTTCCTTTTCCATGTTAGTCTGGCAGCCCGTGGCAAAAAAGGTGTCTTATTTTATACTAAGCTTTTTCCTTATAAATTAATCATATCCAAAGGCTTAATGAGAAAAATGCATGTCTGTCCTGTATATACAAAATAGAGTCAGCATTTATTTTCTGTATATATATTTATATATATATATACCTACCTGTACCACTATAATCCATGAAGGGTCTTAGGTTCAGTAGTATTTAGGAAAAACACTGTTTATTGGTCTATGGTTGTGCCGTGATCAGGAGGTGATTTGACCGAGATCATTCTTAACCGCCAGGTTTTTCCCCTTAATTAATTATTTTAATTAAACGTAGCCTCATTATAGAGGCTGGGTGTGTCCCATAGAGGTCTACCTACCCAGGGTCGCCCCACGACTAATGAAATAGAATAAATAATTATTCTGCCATTGGATTCGAACCTGGGACCTTTAGCATTGGAAGCTCAGTACCCTACCACTGAACTGCACCTCTCCCGCTATATATATATATAAATATATATTTTAATGTCAACGTTACATGGCATTTTAATATTGGCGCAAAAGTGATAACAGCACGAACTACGAGTAGGAAGTGCGTGTGGATGGTGGGGGAAGCAAGCCTCATATAAGAGCAGAATGTGACGAGCCGCCAAGAGAGAAGGTGCTAGCCAGCAAGCTGAGAAGATAGAAAAGGAGTACTAGCCAGTCTGAAAAAGATAGAGGCCACTAGTGACAGGCGTAAATGCGTGAGTGCCAACAATGACATTTATATTGACAGAGGGAGAGAGCCAAAAAGTGTAGATCGGGACAAATTATTTTATAAAACTATTTTAAATTATATATAAGTGTAGTAAATTAGTATTAAATTAAGTAAATTAGTGTAGCTTACAAATAATATAATTTTAAATGAGTGTTCAGTTGTTAGGACCTAACCTGAGAATTTATGTTATATATTAAAATAAATGGTATATTGAAAAAGAAACTCGTTGTTTGATTTTGGAGGGAAAGAGTAAAGTTACAATATATATAAATGAATTCTATCTCAAAGAGGTATTATTTATCAAGAGTACCAGCAATATATGTTTTTCAAATTTATTTTTCCTAAAAATGGAAATTCCATCAGTTTACTCTCGTTTATATCAATGTAATTATGGTTGTTGTTTTGTTTTTTCTAAAAGATAAACTGGAACAGTTTTGTAGAAATTTAGTAGTACTTTAATATTATACTGGATATCTACCATAAACCTAATCATTTTTTAGATGTTCTTAAACAGTTTTACCTTTTTTTTATATATTTATATTTACATTATGAGTCAATTCCTAATTTTACTTTATTATTTTTTTTTACTGAATTAGAGATGAATCTCAATTTACTCTATAACAAATTTCAACTTAATTAATATAATATTAAAGCTCAACAAACATGGAAGTTTTTCTAAAAGTGTGGTGTCTTCAGTCCAATAGGAGGTAATGAAAAAAACTCATAGAATCCTTGATATTATGAAAGATCGCACCTACTGTAGTTTAAAAGTCCTCTTTAAATGGTTTTAAAAAAAGACAAAAATTTACTTAAATTTTATGTAAATTTGAGTACAAAGTAATTGGTTATAACCTATATTAAACATTTTTTTAATTATTGCTTTTTATTCAACATACAAGACAACATGGTTTACTAAAAAAAAAAATTAAGTTTCCTAGTTCTCTGTATGAATTCAGACCATGGTTTATTGTAACTTTGTTAAAGATTTTAAGGTCTGCTATCACATATCATCAATTATATGAAATCATTGTTAATCTAAACATTATATCAATATTACGAAATTCCTTATTGATTGATATTGAATATAATTCTGTTGTCAATCACTATTTTAGAATCATCAAAACATAAAAACTTTTAATAATAATTAGAACGATTGAAAATTTAAAAAACAAATTAAACTTCAAAATGGTTTCATATACTATGAACAACATCAATTTCATAGTTTAGAGTAATTTTGGCATAAAATTGAAACACAATAATTATAATTTAGTAAATATCCCCTTAACCATTGGTTTTATCAAAAAAAATAAGTAGGATAATTTTTAGAGATTTAAAATTACTTTAATATTGTACTGAACAATCTTTGTGATAAAACCTCATAGTTTTTTTTAGATATTCTCAGAAAAATTTCAATTTTCTGTCCTTTTCTCCCTCCTCTCATCAAGACTCAAAAAGTGATTCTTTAAGAATTTTTACCAGTTATTAGGTGAGGGTAATGAACAATTTTTGACAAATTTCATCTTTATTTTTGTGGATGTTGGGGTCAATCCCTAATTTTACTGGACTGGAAAGTTTGTTTAGACTAATAAATAATAGCAACTGAATCACAATTTAAATAGTGATCAGCAGCAATAACTTAAGAATTTCTGCTTCTTAGAGCTCCCTATTAGGTGGTTTGTATATGGCGATGGTAATTGGCCTTGAAGAAGAATGTTAGCGAATTGATATGGCTTAAATATATTAGGTTTATCAAAATAATAAAAAATATATATAACTATTAAAAGAGATATAAAAGTAATTTTTGGTAAAAACTTGAGATAGGATACAAGGGTGGTCTGAATAGTTTCTGACCATGACATGAAGAGGGCAGCACTCGTAAATAAAAGCAAGTGATTTTCTTTTTTGTTGACAGTTATCCACCAAAATTTTTACCATTTTGGAAGCACAGTTTTTATGTAACAGCAATTTGAGTGAGTTGATGTGAGTGTTTTTGTGAAATTGGAAAAAATCGAGTATCGAGCTATCATTAATTATTTGTTTTTGAACAGCAATACGCCTATGCAAATCAAAGATGAGTTGTTCAACTTCGTGAACAATTATTTTGCAGAGAATACGCCAAGTACTTTTTGGACGGGTTACAGAGATAGGATCATTGCTGGGAGAAGTGTGTAGCAGATTATGTTGAAAAATAAAAAAAAATCAGAAAAAAGGTCTCGTATTTTTGTTAGGTCGGAATTTTTTCAGACCACCCTTGTATATTGCCAAGTAACCTTTATGTGAATTTATAAAAATGTTACATAAATAATTTTAATATTTGTTTATAAAGACAATTTTATTTTTGAAGTACAGTTTATTTTGTATTATTAAATTTTCCCAAAAAAGAAATTCTCCAAAACTTTGTTCAAATTTAGGTGTGAGAGTGGGAAATGTGTTTCAAATAAATGGCGTTGTGATGGAGAACCAGACTGCGAGGGAGGAGAAGATGAAGCACATTGTGAAAGTTCAATTCAACAAGAATGCACTCAAGAACAATTTTCATGCCTCAGAGGGAACTGTATTCTAGTAAGTTATTTTATTTCATTTTAAAAATAAATAAATGAAATTAAAGATTAATTTTATCATATTAATTTGAACACCTTGTAGTAATAAATATTGTTTCTTTATGATTAAAGGAACTATTGGGTAACATATTTAGGAAGGACAAAGTTTCTTACAAAACAGTTGCTACATTTTTCAACTTTCTAACAATATACCCTACTTTGTGAAATTAGTTATATATTGTATACAAGGGTTGAGGGATGAGTTGCTACTGTAAACATTTGTAATGCCTTCTATTTCCTTTCAACAATAATACTTCACCTCTGCAAGATTGAAAAAGTGTATATACTAGAAAAATCATTCATAGCACCCACTTTATCGTAAAATGAAAACAAAAATATAAATAAATGCTGAAGGTGGTAGCTACATCTCAAAACAATGACAAATGTCACTATTAAACAAAAATAAAATTTTATTTCAGTATCAATTCTTTGGTACAAGATCTGTCCTTATGAGAACCATCTGTGTTTATTTAGCAAAAAAGAATATGTTTCTCCATATTTTGTTCTTTTTAACAGATATGACATCTAGCATAAAACTATAAACATGGATGGATCTAATAGTAATTTTGAGAAAAAATTTTCATTTTTCGATTAGAATGAAAATTCTTATTTAAATTTTTTGAGGTGTGAATAACCCTATAAAAATATTCGATGGAATCTAGATGTGAACATCATGCATAATACATGCTTTATTCTTATTTTCAGACCGAACCAAGATAACATATCAGGTTTTGTACATGTAATATAACTTTAGATAACCATTTGGTTAAAAAAAAATATATATTTTTGTCATACAACTAAAATAATGAGTACAATATTGAAACAATTAGTATTAACCCAGAGAGCAAAAGAGTTCAAAAAATATTTTTAAGGAGAAACAAAGGTGATATTTGTATTTTGTACTTTAAAAAATTCATACAAACAATTTTTCATAGAAATAGTTCAGAAGATGGGAAACGTTTCATCAAAATGTTAACTTTGGAGGATTTAGAAAAAAATTAAAGTATGAAATTGGATTTTTTTTTTTTTTATAATTTACAAATTAATATAAAAAATAACAACGAAATGGAAAATAAAAGCTAAGTCCATGGTTTTTTTTTTAAACAAAACATGCCTTCTTTCAGTCTTTATACTTTTTTAAAAACAAATAAATAAAAACTTTAGCATTTGAAGTTTGTTTTGATAATAATTGAATTATGTAATAAAACTTTCATGGGTGTTTTCTTAAATAAATGGTCTGTTTAGAAACAATGGGTCTGTGATGGAGTTCAAGACTGTTCACAAGGTGAAGATGAGCAAAACTGTGTGACCCCTTGTGATCCTGCAACACAGTTTACTTGCCCTCCCCCAAATGTCACATATTCAAGAATTGCTCACTGTATTCGTAAAAAGCATGTCTGTGATGATAAAAGAGATTGTCCCCGTGGAGAAGGTATTTATTTATCTATCTACTTATTAGTTTATTCAGTAAATATTTACCTGAGTTAGGCATAATAAACAAACTATTATACACTATTTATAGTTTACTCTCCTATCATAATAACAGATGATTTTAGAAATAAAATAAAATACCAATTTATTTTTTGCCTGTCACACTAACAATAGAAACTCAAAAGTATTTAATTTGATTGAATAATTATCATCATCATGATTCGTGCCACAGCACTTCATCATGCCTAGCCTCTTTTGACAGTCTCTGCTAGCCTATATATTCTGCTGCCGCAGCTCTCCAATTCCAATTGTCCAGAAGGAAACTTGCACCGAGAAGACAATGTCCTAATGTTTGGCTTTCCCACTGTTCCCTTGCCATGTAGCTCCTTAGTCAGGAACATCTTGGGAATTCTGCTGCTGCACATTCTTATCGCATAGGCAGCCTATTGGAGTCTCTCCAGCTTGATAAACTTGATTATACCCATACTTCCTTCCATATAGACTAGAAAGCTTCATTTTTTTCTTCTATTTCATCAGTTATTACCTTCTCTAACTTTATTAAAAATTGTCTTAATAAATATATCCTCCAAAAAAACAGAAGCCTCATCTTGTCTAATTTGGTGAAAGCTGATGCTTCCAATCCAGATGTACTAACAGGACATATCAGCAACTTGTATAGATTGTAGTAGATGTCCTCCATTTACTCCTTGAGTGATGGAATAAGAAAGAGTGTATATGCAGTGTATAATTGTGCAGTGGGCAGATTGTAGAGTGAAGGGTGTTAAATGTATAAAGAATTGACGAAAAAAAATACAGAACAAAGAAAGAAAGAAGCCTGGATTAAAGTCGAGCAGGTGGAGAGGGACGCTGGAGGAACAAAGAAGAGCACTTGAGACTAGGACTTGAAGATAGAAGTACGTGACGGCCGGAGAGAAGCCCACAGTTATAAGACTTTAATAGATTCATTACAGTTGTTAAAATAAATTATCTTGTTATACAGAAGTGGATGGTGCTTTTATTTAGTTGTCCTAAATAATTGAAAAACAACAAACCAGGTGAGTCAATTCATTCAAAGTATATTTGCTCAGTCCAACATTTCATATATATATATATATATATATATATATATATATATATATATATATATATATATATAAAGTTAAGTGTCTCGGACTTGTGACAATAAAAAAAAAGAGGAAAAGGTTAACGAAATGAAACGCATGAAGTCGAAATCAATACTGCTTTATTGTTGCTTCTAATCCTCTATATATACAGTTAGATCATGTTTACATCGATACGTTTGGTATTAACGCTAATACTATGCCGCTCCGTACCTTAACTTATTTATTGTAATGTAAATATTACATAGTGATTTTAAATAGTGGCATGAAGGCAGTAACGTCACAAACTACTGTCAAAAATGGACAAAGACAGATGGAAGGGGAAGCAAGAGCGATATGTTAAAGAGAAGGCAGCCAGCCGGCTAGGAGAGATGAGTGATCGAGACCACAAATAGTGACATATGACAAAGTAGTGAGAGTCAATAAAGAAGAATAGAAGTTGAAGACAACAATATTGAGAAGGATTCACTGCAGAACAGGGTGAGTGAAATATAAATAGTGACAGTTCGAAAGTGCGCCAAGAGTAGACCCCAAAAAAATAATGGAAATTCATAAATGTGCTATATAAAATTAATGTATGCCTTTGTATTATATATTTGAGGAATGTGTGTTAGTTGTCTCAATCCAACCTAAGAAATAATTATTGTGTAAAATAAATATAATTTTATTCAGAAACTGTTTTTTTTAATTTTCAAAGGAAACGTAACCAACCAATATATATATTCTTATTATTTCTTGACACTGTGTCATAATAGCATTAGGTTATCGAATTCCCAAGAGCAGTAAACACCTTCAAAAAGTTTACATCCAGAGCCGAGATTTTGTTTTTTAAAAATTAAAATTCACCAATGTAAATAACCAAGACTCCCGACAAAACGGGAGGTTATTTACAAGGTTTACTTTTGTTCCATTATAATGGAATATTTTCATGAAATACCTTGCCAGGCCAAATTAGCACCAACTGGCAGCAGCAATTCTCCTACTGATCTCCTGAGAAATCTTATTTGACAAGTTTACTTCAATTCCAAGGTATGTGAAGCTCCTCGCACTCTCGAAGTTGAAGGATCGAGCATCAAAGTTTCCAATTCCTGCTCTGCCTTCTCCAAATGTCATTTATTTCATCTTATTTTCGTTAATAATAAGACCAAGCTTATTTTCAGCATCATCCAAAGCCAGGAATGATTCTTTGTAGCATTTAAAGTATGTACAGGTGCATCTACATGAAAGTAGGTCTATACTATTGAAGTTACTACTTTCCAGTTGATCTCTTTTTTTATAGAGTGGAAATATGATTTCTTATGTCCATTCATATAAGGCATTCTTTTTTTTTTTTTTTTTGTGTGTGTGTGTGATAGTAAGCATGAATTAATTTAAAAAAATTAATATACATATAAAGAAATATAGAAATGGAAACATTTTTATTTTTACACTAGTTTTATACCAGTATGGGTGGCAACTATCATTCTGTAACTTATGGCTTAGAACTTGATACATCGACTTATTATGTTTTTGAAGTAAATATTTCCACATTTTACCATCAGCAAACCACTCAATTATCATATTTATATTGGTAAAGTTGGTTATCTTTATTTATCTTGACAACTAATGTTATAAATGCTCAATATGGTTTAGTTTTGTACTCAATAATATACTGAAAATTCTGATCATCAGATTGAAGGGTTTATTAGGAATGCAGGGAGCAAAGTCATTTCTTTCTACAATTTCTGGCTCTTTATTTCTCTATTGTATTGTAACTTCATTAGGAAAAACGGCTGATGAGAATACTATGAACTTAACAACTATTTAATATACATTTCTGATTGTCATATTACCATTGATGGTATTTTGAATTGAAGAAAATAGTTGATATATATTCAGGAAATTTTATGCGAGATTAATTTGAATCTTTTCTATGCCTAAGATACTCATTCCTAGATATAAAACGGGTAGCTTTATGTTTACATTTTATCAAGATATTAATGTTTAGAGTTTTTTTTTTTTCATTATGAATCACATTACTTCATTTGATATCTTTGAAATCTCTTTGATATTTCTTTATGATTTTTCTGTTCTTAGATGAGCTTAATTGCTCTAAACCAAAAAGTTGCAGTTTATCGACCAAAAAGTGTGAACAGATATGTGTGACAACCTATGACAATAAAGATGCCTGTAGTTGTCGACCTGGATTTGTTCTGAATGATGATGGAGAAAGGTAAATTTCATTATTGATAATATATATATCTGATGTTTTAAATTCTAAAATAAATCTGTATATTGAACTAAAAAATTTAAGCTTTAATTTCAACCAAAATATACACATACTATACAGGTTGTCTCAGTTATTAATGGCCAGACTCTGGTGGGATGATTCTGGACAAAAAAGTTTATTTGATGCATCGCCGATTCCGAAGGGGAGTTTAAATCAATTTTGTATTTTTCTTTAGGTGGTCACATATTTTATTGAATAAGAAGGAATTGCTCAAAAAACTGTTCAAAATAATTAAATTCTTAAGTACATTACCCTAAAGTAGACAGCATTTTCTTTGAGAAAACAGTGATTAAATTTACTAAGGTTGATGATATAATTAAATTCTAAGTACAATATTGTAAAGTAGACAACATTTTCTTTGAGAAAACGATGATTAAATTTACTATTAACTATTAAACCATTTATTTTTAAGAGAAAAGAATGTTAATCCAGAGGTTTCGAACCTTTACGGTGTCAGATAATCGTTCAATATCCCTCACTAATTAATGCTGTGAAATAATAATAGTGGAAGGATAAGAAAGTCAAACTACTCACAGTACTTTGCTAGAATAATAATAATAATAATAATAAAAGGCTTAGCGAACCCGAAGGTTCAATGCCGACACCACCAATCGCTTATTACACACCTCTCTCCACCATTCGCCGTCCAAACCCAGTCCCTTCAGATCGGCTTTAATGTAATCTACCCACCTTCACTTCGGTCTACCCCTCTAACCCTCAGTAGAAGTCTACCCTGGTCGGTCTACCCCTCAGACGTACAGCAAATAGTAACCTTTTATTAATTCTCTTGTTACTAAGTCCAACAATTTTACAAGCCCATTTGATTCGCCGAGATGAGATTACCTCAATTATATTACCCGGATACAGTTCATGCAATTCGGCGTTGTGTAACCGTCTGAACTCTCCGGTTAACTCATCCTTCTTCGGTCCGAATATTCTACGCAATACTTTATTTCCAAAAACCTTAAGACGCTGCTCATCCCTTAATGTAAGCGGCCAAGTTTCACATCCATAAAGAACTGTAGGTAAGATAATGGTTTTATAGATTCTAATTTTTAAGTTCTAGGACAAGAGGCACGAGCTAAATAGTTTTGTTATAGAAAAATAACAAGCATTTCCCACCTTCAGTCTAACCTTAATCTCTTCTTTAATTTAGTTTTTTCTAGTTATTGTTGAACCTAGATACCTAAACTCCTCTACCTGTTCAAACATATTACCATCTATATCGATATCACAAGTAGTATCGCCATTTTTGCAGCTAACCATATATATTTTTTTTTATCCGCATTTATTTTGAGCCCTAGTTCTTTACTGGCTTTCATTAACATTGTTGTATTTAGTTTTATAGTTTCCACATCTTCGCTTAACAGTACTAGATCATTAGCATAGCCCAGCACGAATGTTGTCCCACCCAGATCCAACCCTTTTTCGATATGCATTACCTCCCTAATAGCATTTTCTATTGCCAAATTGAACGGAACAGATGAAAAGGAATCCCCCAGTTTCAAACCCGAACGAACTTCAAATTTATCGGACAGATTATTACCAATTCTGACTTTATTGAGTGTTTCCATCAAGCATACCCTTACTAGATTTACTATTTTTTTGGAATCCTATGCTCGATTAGAATATTATACAGTTTCTGGCGGTCAATAGAATCATAAGCCTTTTTTAAATCGATATATAGCTGGTGAACAATACCGTTGTACTCTAATTTTTTCTCTAATATTTGCCGTAAAGAAAGTATTTGATCAATAGTCAAACAATTCTGTCTATGGCGCAAGAACCTAACCCCCTACTCTCTCCCCCCAACATTTTTTATTGCTCAATTTCTCTTAACAGAGAATGCTAAGGTAGAATTAGAAAAATTGTAGATCATACACAATTACACTTGTAGTGGCCTGTTCCATATTTTCCCCTTCTACCTTAGACAAAAATTCTGATGCTCTTATACAAAAAAGTCGTCCTATAATGGATTTCTAGACACTCAGGCCTCTCTGGAAATGAAAGGGCAGAGCAGTTGGCCTAGGAAGGAGCACAGCAGGCTCAAAATATTTCATATTCGCTCCAGTCCAATCTGTGAGTGCAGAGAAGAACACAATGCACAGCACATACTCCAAATGAGCAGTTATTTTCTGAGCAAAGGAGGCTGATCTGGGCCTCTTAAACTGAGATGTAAAGAAAGTTTTACAGTAGCTTAGAGGACCTCAGGGCAGCTGAATTCCTCATTTTGGGCTCTGATCTGGTCATCTAATGGAAGAATACAGAAGAATATTGGTTGTTTAGGGAACACATCAAACTATCGATTTAAATACAATTTAAATTAAATCAAGAAACACGTCACAGCTGTTATCTGGAGCATAATGCATATATACCTCAGTTGTTATTGTGACAAGAATACATTACTGAAGCATAGACAGATTAACGAGACTGGCCAGTTTGAATATTCGTAATTCCACTGCTTTGATGAATATGGAGTAAAAAGCTACATCGGCCGGCAAAGGGCCAAGAAAGGAAGGGAGAGAAGATGAACAGGAAGACTGGCAAATAGAAGAAAAGAGAAAATGCAAGTATCCCAACCCACCTATATTTAACCTCTGTATAAAATTAAATGTTATTGTATAAAATAAAGCAATCAATTTTACATCTTCACTCTTTTAATCCATTAGCTTCTCTAATTTTACAGTCCACAGCAATAAATTATCATCAGCTCTTAAAGCAAAATTATTATGACAATATCTCTGACAGCCTTGGAAGGGATTGGCATAGTAAATTAAACATTGGTACTGGTTACTTTTTGAACTAGATACTCTGGGGCCTTATGTGCTCAACCATCATAGCCTCATTAATTACTGGTTACAGGATGAGAAACTACCCTTAGTTCTAGACAATTTTTCCCCTAATCTATGAAAGTCTCAAACCCATTTGGTTTCAGGTTAAGGTTATCTCATTAGGTTAACAATTTATTTTGAGGCTAAATGGAAACCAGCAATACATTATTATAGTATAAAAGCCTCAAAGGGCCCATTAATATTTTTTTTAAAAATAGTGAGTCTTTCGATTGTATCTGATACTCTTGATAAATTTGTGTACTTATGGATTTTTTTTATTTTTTATTATAAATGACAATCTGCATATTTTCAGCTTAGAGCCTCTTTAAAACATTGCATAACATTGTATTATTATATAAAATAACAACTTTAATTAATTTCTTTTAGTTGCCGGGACATTGATGAATGTAGTTTGAAGAACGATGCAGTTTGTAGCCAAATTTGTAATAACACTATCGGTTCATATATCTGTGCTTGTTATGATGGATACGTTCTAAGGCCAGATAATATAACTTGTAAAGCAGTAGGATCACCTCCTACTTTACTGTTTGCTAATCGCATTGACATCAGACAAGTATGCATCATAGAAATTTCACCCAATCTGATTATTTAAGTGTAACTTGTATTGTATTTTTAAAATGTTTTGAACTAGGTAAGTTTAGATCACCAGAAATATACAGCTGTACTTAAAAATCTTCACAATGCTATAGCACTTGATTACCATTACAAAAAAGGACTTATTTTCTGGTCTGACGTTTCAATGGATATGATACGTCGTTCATTCATTAATGGATCAAATATAACAGGTTTGTTGCCATTTTTATTTAAATTGTAATATAGTGATATGTTAATAGTTGATATTGATTATTAAAATTCATCAATTTAAAGTTGAATATAAAACAATTTTCACTTTTAAAATTGTTATCATTTTTTATTATTTTTCCATTTTAGATATAACACGGTGGGGGTTAGATTCTCCCAGTGGTATAGCAGTAGATTGGATCCATGACTTATTATTTTGGACTGATTCTGGCACAAGAAGGGTTGAAGTTTCCTCATTTGACGGGCAGAATCGACACGTTCTTGTTTCTGATGATTTAGCAAAACCAAGAGCAATAGCTGTTCATCCAGGGAAAGCTTTTGTTTTCTGGACTGACTGGGGTGATTATAGAATAAAAATAAATCAATATCTCTTTTGATAATTTATATGCTACATATTCCCCATTTTGAATTCTTAGGGTCTAAGCCAAAGATTGAACGCATTGAAATGGATGGTTCAAACAGAATGGCAATCATTACAGAATCAGTTCAATGGCCGAATGGGCTATGCATTGATTATCCTGCAAATCGAGTTTATTGGGCCGATGCTAAACATCATGTTATAGAAAGTGCTAAATTAGATGGCACTGAAAGGAGAAAAGTAATGAGTGCTATAAATTATCTTTCAACTTATTTTATTTATCAATGATATAATTAAATTAAATGTTGCATTTAAATAGGTTATTACAAAAGGGCTACCTCATCCATTTGGTGTTACTCTTTTTGAAGATGCTATTTATTGGACTGATTGGCACACAAAAAGCATTTCTACTGCTAACAAAGTCACAGGAACAGGGTTTATGACCATTCATGGACAATTGCATTTTCCAATGGACATCCATAGGTATTAAAATGATACTTTTTTGTAAAAAGAAGCATTTCAATGGCCCAGAGATAAAAGATACCATGACTATTTTTGCATTAAATAATTTAGTAACAAAGAAACAAATTGCAACAGCTCAAACCTTATGCAAAATTGGCTCTCTGAACAAATACAAATATGTTACATGGTGTCCTTTTCTTCTGGAATATATATAATCTTATAGTATAAAAAATTATTGTATTTTGTACTATATTAGTATGAATATTTTCATTATTTCCAGTTATCACTCTCAGAGACAGCCTACTTATAAAAACCATTGTGGGAATAACAGTGGTGGATGCTCCCATCTTTGTCTTCCAAATGTTAACTCTTTTCAATGTATTTGTCCACTTGGTCTTAAAATTATATCTGACAAGTAAGTTTGATGTTAATATTATTTAATATATTATATGGTTATTTATTTATAAATAAAATTTTTTTACTAATTTAACAAACTGAACCATCTTTATTTTAGTCGGACTTGTGACACAACAACAGATCATATGTTATTATTCGCAAGGAAAAAAGACTTGAGGTTAAGATCTCTTCAGGCAGGAACACCGATGTACGATTCAGTAATACCAGTGGATGGAATCAAGTCAGTTGCAGCTTTGGCCTGGGATAGTATTACTAACACAGTATTCTGGACTGACAGTACATCAAGTAGAATTTCATCCGCTAAAGTGAATGGGAAGGACCAAAAAGAAATTATCGACAATAATTTAGGTTAGTTGTTTCTTTAAATTGTATTTAAATACTCTGGCTGTCATAATAGTTATGGCAACCACCATTGGATTAGGTCTGACATCATAAGTTTTTCTTACTATGATTTAATTAATAATAAACAAATTTTTGCTTTTATTTTTTATTCTAGAAAATGGCTTTACCTTTTTGTTGAACATCTTGTAAAAGATTTTAAAATTTTGATTATAATGAATCTAAAAATATAATGATATGAAATAATTTAGTTTGGTTTATTATCTTTCAAATAATATTATATTTGAGCCAAAAACTCTGTCCCTTGATTGAATAAAATATGTTTAATCAATTTGTTAAATGGTATGTAACTATTTTTTTAGCTAACGGCTGTATCAAAGTTTGATAGTTCAAATTATTAATTGAGATTCCGTGAGTGTATTGAAACAATTTGACCTTAAAACATTGACCCATGATTGAATATAATGCGTTTAATCAATTTGCTAAAAGGTATGTAACAATGTTCTGATTGGTTTTCAACTTAAATGGTACAAATGACAGTGAAATCTATCGAATGTTGTGAAAGAATTTGAGCTAAAAATTAAATGAAATAAAAATAGATTTTTATTATCCTGGGACTCTTGTCCCTGTAGGACAAATTATAGATACAGAGGAAATGCTTGTGTGGCCATAAAATTAAATTAAATATTTACAATTCTCATTAAAATTAAAATATTGGAAGAAAAATAAAACAGAAACACTAAATACATACAGATATATATAATAAAAACATATGAAAATCAAATAACATAAGTAAAATCATTTCTGGGGGAAACTTAAAAAGTTCTCTTATCTACTTTTCATGATCAATCGGGTTGGGAAAGAAGTAGGTGCTTAAAAAGGAGAGATTTAAATGAAGAAACTGATTGAGCATGTTGGATATCGGGAAGGAAGGTATTCCAGGAGACAGCTTGAATTCTAAAGGATTTGTCAAACGCAGCAGTTCGGTGAGGAGGTAGATAGAGGTCAGAAGTACGGGATCTAGTGGGAGGGAATTGAATGGAATATTTAAATTGTAGGGTGAAAAATATAGGAAGGTCGCTGAGTTCTGATGGGTTGGTATAGAAAGGTAGCAAGGAAGTACAGACAGTCGTTGGATGGATAGAGCCACTTCAACTTGGTGTAATACTGGGTTTTATGTATATCTCTTGAAATTCCAAAAACAAAAGGTGTTGCGCAGTTCATTAGGCGTTTAAGTTTGGCTTTGAATTCTCGGGAGAGTCTGCCGTACTCCAGACAGCCATAGTCGAAGTAGGGGAACACAATGGAGGAAACCAGGAGTTGTAGGGATTTTTAAGCGGAGACGTTTAAATTATTTCAGGTTAGAAATAGTACGACGGGAAATTTGGGAGATGTGTGGTTTCCAGAAGAGGGTTTGATTGGGGGACTACAATATATTGGGAGCAACCGGTAAAGAAGGATTGGAACCAATTAAGGGTACTAGTTGAAAAGGAGATATTTTTAAGCTTGGTTAGGAGAATTTTGTGGTCTGCTGATTCAAAGGCTTTGAAGAATTCAAGGAGAATTAGGATGGTGAGTTTCTGCTGGTCCATGGCTGTATGAATGTCTTGGGAAATTTTGATGAGGGCAGATTGAGTGGAGTAGCCGGGTTGGAAACCGGACTGGTTGGGATTTAGGAGGTTATTCTGTTCTAAGAAGTCGGTCTGTTCTAAAAAAATACTGAAAAAAATTTAATTGTATTTTAAGAATTCTAAAATTTGTATTGGTTTCATATCATATCACATTGTAATATCTTGACCAATTATGTTGAATATAAATTGTCAGTGTTGAAAAAATATTTTAATGAGAAAAAAAACTGAATACAGAAATCATGAAACCCACTCCAATCTAGTGGAATGTACTTCCATATGGACTTAAACATTTTAGGATATTGTTAGGAAAATTTACACCTATGTATTTTTAAACTTGGTATAGTAGTAGGGTGTCTAAAATACCTCAAACCGAGCTCAAGACTCTTCAGATGTAGTCATGCACCAACATATGGAACAAGATCTATTTGCCAGGAGCTGTGATGTGTTGTTAAAGGCACCCGACTCCTACCCCAAGTTTAAATACTCCTAGATATCAATTTCCCTATCAACCTATCAAGATCAGTTGGCCTCTGACTTTCATGGAGTGCGGTTGTACTGTGGAGTTATTCGGACTGTTTCTATATTTCATTTATTTATTTTATTTCATGTATTTCGTCTTCTTTTTTTTTTTTTTAAATGTAATTAATGAAACCCGGCGAAGAACTAAGTGATTCGCTCGGTGTTTCCATCACTACTAAAATGAACGTAGACCAACATACGGACGAATCCTGTTCTAAGAAGAGAGTTCATGAAGCTATTGATTCACCTCAATCCCGATCACCAGTTAAAAAAATGGGCAAGTACTACCAGGAAATCGCTCCAATTAAAGTAAGCAATAGCTTTAATCATCTTACGAAAATTGACCTTTCATCCGATAAGCACACTACAGCAAGTACTAGTCATAAAAATAACCCAAATGTTCAATCCAATGATATTAGAATACCACCGATATTTTTACACAATGCTAACAATTACAGACTTCTATTAAATGACCTAAATGCATTATGTATCGGACCATTTAATACGCAACTGGCCGGTAACAACACAAAAAATAATGCTATCAACCATTGAAGACTACAGAACTATGACTAAATATTATGATGAAGAAAAAATTGAATATCACACATTTTCCTCAGATAAAAATAAATACTTAAACATTGTCATAAGGAAGGTCCCTTATAGGATAACCGAAGATGAATTAAAGGCCGAGTTAAATTCCAAACAGTTCGAAGTTGTTTACGTTTCCAGAATATTGAATAAAGATAAGAAACCTACTCCTCTCTGCTCAGTGTCTATTATAAACAATGAAACGGCTAATGACATCTTCAATCTGAACAATTTATTTTCTGCTTTAATTACAGTCGAACCTAAACACAAGAAAAATGATATCCCCATGTGTACCAACTGTCAGAGGTACGGCCACACGAAAAATTATTGTCATTTAGAGCCCCGGTGCGTTAAGTGCAAAGAAAAACACCACTTCTCTAAATGCCCGTTAAAATTCACAGATAAGCCATTTTGTGTAAACTGTAAATTGGCCCATGCAGCTACCTACAAGGGTTGCGTCTATTATCAAAATATAAAAAATAGAGTAAATTCACCTCTAGAGCCAACTAGTCAAAAAACTGAGAATATTTCTTCTAGACCTGCCTCCAGAATTACTTCAAAACAGTCATTCGCAGACACCATTAGACCGACAACAAAACTATCGGAACGAAAACCTCAGCCCACAGTTAATCAAAACATTGAAATAAACGGCGATAATTTACTGTCAACAATAACTAAAATTATTATCGATGCTATCAAACCGTATTTACCACAAATTATGACACACCTATCTTCGCTCGTAGCTTCTTTATTTACTAATGGACCCTAAAGTAAACACTATCTTATTTGTACTAACTCGTTCGAGACTAACTGCGCATTATTCCAGATCACGTATTATTTCATTTATTTCCAAATATTAATTTTTTATATATGACTGCAGAACTAAAAAGATTAAAAATTTTAAACTGGAATGCGCATGGCATATCATCTCAAAGAAATGAATTTAAAATTTTTCTTGAATCAAATTTCATCGACATAGCCTGCATAACCGAGACACATCTATCTCAAAACATCACATTTAAAATCCAAGGTTACAAAATCCTACGAAAGGATCGAGAATGTTCGACTGCTTCCGGCGGCGTAGCCTTAATAATTAAGAATAATATTAGCTTCACTGAAAACATTATTGATAATATTTTAAATATCGAAGTCATATCAGTTCGTTTACATTCATTTCCCTCTACAGTCGTTACAGCAGTTTATAAACCTCCAAACAAAAAACTACTCCAAGATGAAATTTTAAAACTCTTGCCATCAGGAGACCATTCTTTAGTTCTAGGTGACATGAACAGTAAAAACATCTACTGGGGCTGTCGTAAATCAAATTCTAGCAGAAATATTTAGCTAGAAATTTGTTCTAGGCACAATATTCAAATCCATACGCCAAATGAACCTACTTTTTATAGACCAGGCTGTAATCCCGATATTTTGGATATTGCACTCACCAAAAACTGTAGGCTTCCTCTCTCATCTCACGTTATCACAGCCTTAAATTCGGACCACATCCCTGTATTAATTAATTTTTCAACTGAGCTAAATGTAGTGCCGAAGCGAAAATCACTTATTAATGGAACGATTGACTGGGAATTATACAAAATCTTAGTAGCTGAGAAAATAAATCTGAAAAATAATTTTTCTACTGGCCTTGAAATCGAAGAAAATATAAATAAACTAAATGAGTCTATCTCGAATAGTCTACAGGAAGCAACCGTACGACCTTTCCAGTTAGTGAGGAAAAATTTTTCAAGGAGTTGCCCAAAATCAATTCTGTTAAAAATTAAAGAAAAGAACCATGCAAGGAGACAGTGGATGCGCAACAGAGATCCTACTTACAAAAAGACATGGAACCACCTCAAAC